AGGTTTTGTGCAAGGATTTTTAACTTTTTGTCGTGGACCCATTTGGTAGTCTGATGAAACCTATGGATTCTTCAGAATAGCAGTCAATAAAAATTTATTAAGCATCTCCTGTGTTCCAGGCACTGTGCTAAATGCCCATGTTTTTATATGTACAAAGTAACAGGAAAAAAAGGAAACCAATTATTTTAAAATAAACATGTAACATTTTTTCGTCCAATGTCCCAGACCTTCTAAAATCCATGCACAGACCCTATTTAAGAACATTTGGCTTACGGGTGCCATGGTAAATATCTATAATCCCTGCTACCAGTGAAACTGAAGCTAGTAGATTGCTTGACCTCGGGAGTTCTGAGCTTCAGTGGGCTCAGGCAAGTAGTTTCCATACTGTCTAACATCAGTATGGTGAACTCCCCATAGAGAGAACCATCAGGCTGGACAAAGCAGCCCAGGTCAGTAACAGAGCAAGTCCTGTACTGATCAGTAGTATGATTGGTTCCGTGAGCGGCCACTGTACTGCCAACCTAGGTAAAATATGGAGACTCTACAAATAAACAAATGAACAAAAGACCCTGGTTTGTTTAGTAGAGATTGTGATTATAGAACTGGAAAACACATTAGAGTCCAATCAGTCCCTCCATCCCCATCATTTTACAGATGAGGAAATAGAGGGTTAGAAAAGCTAATTAACTTGCATGTGTTCAACATAAGTAATATAAATCAGAGATTAGATTTCAACCCAGGTCTTCTGATTCTAGAACCAGCATACCATAAGCCAGACTGGGAGAAACTGAGTTCATGTCCCATCTCTGATACATGCTGGATTTGGGAAAGGTCATTTAACTTCTCACTGGCCTGGGCAACTTTCTAAGAATAGGTTGTAGATCCATTGTTGATCTGCAATAGTAGAGGGACTTTCCTCAGCAGAGAGTTCATCACAGTGATGAAATCACAAGACAGAAACAAAAATAATTATTATAATTAAAAGGAGGGCCCAACCCAACCTTGTGAAGACTGGTGTTGACTGAATGCTTGAAACCCTAGGATGAGGTCTACCATAAAACTCATTAAATGTACTCTCCTTCCCAAAAGCTGACATTTTTTTTCTGTTGTCTTATTCATCATTAAAGCAGTTGACTGACATAGAAGTAGGCCAGGTTTCATATTCTCCACCCACATTTTACAGATTTAAGTGAGCAAATGGAAATGGGTTGAAGTTCTCCTCAATCTCTATTCCATTCAGCAAACACTTATTAACCAGGTACTATGTTCAAGGCATGTTAAACTCCGGAGTCATAACCACAGATTTTTTACAAAAGGAGTCTGCTTTTGAGCTTCCTTTTTATTGGGGTAAGTACACTATTTATACAGAGGAGTAAATACAATATAATTTGAAGAGGGAGAGAAAAACTAACCTGAGCTGAGCCTTGAAGGAAGCTAAGGATTCTAAGAGGTAGAAATGAGGAGAAAGTATGTTCTAGGTATGGGAGGCACCCTATGCAAAGACACAGGTCTGGGACATGAAATGTTGAATATCGGAATAGAATTCTGAATTGAGAGAAGAGTTGATGCTAGTGTAAGGAGATGTCCATTCTAGCTATCACTGGGGAAAAGGGAGAGAGAGAGAGAGAGAGAAAGAGAGAGAGAGAGAGAGAGAGAGAGAGAACACATAAGCCATTCCCAGAAGGGAAAATATTCCAAGGTAGGATGTTTCCCACAATGGGAAAAATTTCTTAATGGAAATTTAGAATGAACCTTCCTCTAGGGAAAGAGACAGAAAAAGGCAGAGATACAGACATAGAGAGAGTCAGAAAGACAAAGAGAGAAGAAGACAGACATAAGAAGAGAGATAAAAACAGAGAAAGAGATAAGGGACTGAGACAGAGAGAAACAATATTAACCTTCACTTCATTTAGGTAACACTGGGAGAAGTCAATGCTCTTTAAGGCAGAACAATTTTCATTATTAACTTTGCCAGAAGTGGCCAAGAAAGTAATATAACTTGGCTAGAAAACAGACGAGAAATAGCTGATGTAACCAGAGCACCTTTGATTGAATACATACATGGTGCCCTTCAATGGGCCCTCAATGAATTAGAGGGAAATTCAATGTTGCAGAACTAAGAACTAAGTCCAGCAGCCAGGCCCTGTCACGCCTGACCACTGAACAGTGTCTCTCTTCTTTCTCACTGTTTTCTCCCAAAGGCAGAACTCATAAATAACTATGTCACGCAGTGTAACCATTTTAAATGGAATCTTGATACCCGGTCTGTCTTGGAGGGAAATTTGTTTAGTAAAGGGTTTTTACTTTGTAATATGTGTGTGTCATCCCAATAATAGCTGATGTATTATATTTATTGTTTTATCTCTTGGAGAATATTGAAATAAAAGCAGAATCATCAGGACCCCATTCATTCTTTAAGGAAGAGGAATTCTGTCATGGCCCTAGGAGGCTGAAAGAGAGAGGCAGAGGCCTAGATGATGAGAAGTTAAAGCAACCCATGTCAAAGCCTGCCTTCTGAGGGGTTCGCCTGACCTGGATGACAGAGCACTAGTTTCCATAGGCCCCAGGGGAGATAAGACTCAGGTCTTCAATTTCATGAAACTGAGAGTAACAGATACTAAACACTTTCCCTTAAATGAAACAAGAAATTATACCATATCCACTAGGAGTTATGGGAGGAAGTTACAAAGAGGAAATTTTAGGCCTTATGCCAAAACAAAAAAACTTCTGAAAAATTCTGTCTAGTCAAAGACAGAGCACATTGTCCTCTTCTTCCCACTCAGATGTTTTTTAAGCAAAAACTTAATAACTACTTGCCCATATATTAAAAAGGGGATTTTTTAAGGTGTATATTTGACTGGATGGCTGATAAAGACTTTTTCAACTCTGAAATCTGTTTTTATAATAATGTCTGATGCTTAACTAGTACTTTTAATTTTATGAGATGCTTTATGCACAATATCTTATGTGGTCACTACTATGCCCATTTTGCAGATGAGAAAACTGAGGCTCAGAGTGGTAAAGTGATGATCCCACAGCTAGTAAATATCAGAAGTGAGATCTGAACCCAAGTCTTCCATACTGTTAGTTTAAAGCAGGGCTGAGGAATCTGTGGCCTTGAGGCCATGTGTGGCCCTGTAGGTCCTTGGGTGCAGCCTTTTGAATGAGTCCAAGTTTTACAGAACAAATCCTTTTATTAAGGGGATTTGTTCTGTGAAATTTGGATTCAGTCAAAGGGCCTCACGTGAGGACCTAGAGGGCCACTTGTGCTCTTAAGTCTGCAAATTCCCCACCCCTGGTCTAAAGTCTGTCCACAGCATGTAGAAGGGAAATAAGACAAATTTATAAATAATTACAGTCAATGATCTCTCCCTTCTTAAACTTCTCATGAAATTTTTCTACACTACTTACCCCTCTTGCAAACTTCTTTTCTATTGATGGTTCCACCATTCTTCCAGTCTTCCACATGAATAAGCTTGGTATTATCTTCAGCTCTTTTAACTCAACTAACATTTATCAAACACCTATTGAGTGCCAGACACTGTGTAAGGATCTGAGGCTACAAGGCCAAAAATAAAAAATAGTCCCTGCCTGTGAGGACATGGGGGGGGGGGGGGGGGGTGGTCCTTACCATGGGTTGTGGAGCAACACACACACTGATGTTTAAGTACAAAAACATTGGGAGTGGGGCAGTAGTCTTGTGATTTCACTGATGCAGAGAATTTCTGATGATGAAATTTCTTCTACCAACGTATTCCAACTGCTCTGCAACCTATGATCTAATAAAGTTGCCTGAGATATGAGAAGGGTAAGTATCTTCCCCAGGGACACACAGCCTTGAACCAAAGTCTTCCTGACTTTGAGTCCAGTCTATCTATCCATTACAATACATTGTATCTCAAGCACAAAATCAATACAAAGTGAGGCTGGAAGGAGGAGAACGCAAAGGCATCATATAGGAAGTGAGCCTTGAATGACACTGGGGATACTATGGAATACTACTTTGCTATGAGGAATGATGAGTTGACTGAGTTTAAAAAAACATGGAAAGATTTATATGAAATAATGAAGAGTAAAAGGAGCAGAACCAAGAACCTTGTACACAGTAACAGAAATATTGTTCTAAGAACAGCTTTGAATGGCTAAGTCATTTTGAGTATTATAAATACTCAGATCAACTACAAAGGACTCAAGAGGGAAGATGCTATCCACACCCAGAGAAAGAACTGATAAACAGAAGTACGTGTATGTATATGTATGTGTATTTATGTGTGTACACATATTTATGTCTAATGGTAACATTCTCTAGGACAAGGTAGGGAGGGAGACAGAAAAAAAATAAAAAAGAAAACTTAGAAGGAAGCACAGAAAAGCAGGTTAGCTTTGAAAACAATGTATTTATTATATAGTCTTTTTAAAGTAAATAGTGTGAAATGGAAATTCATGGGTTTATATTGAATCATTTTTGTGTGTTGTACTGAGTACATGAAAATGTTCAGGTTTTTTTTGTTTGTATTTAAATTCAAAATGAATGTAATTTTAAAAAAGAAAGAAAAAGAAAGAAAGAATACTCCAAGCATGGGGTGCAGACTGTGGAAAGGGAAAGGTGTGAAGGCAAAACATGTAATTGGAGGGAAAATCACGTATCTATATATAACACATGTATTGGAAACAGCAAGTAGATTATGAAAAATTAGTAGATGGAACAAAGTAAGTCAGTTGAGGAGCAGACATGGTAGGACAAAGAAAGTGGCTGCGGGAAATTCATTTATTGAAACTCCAAAGTCATTTCTTGGCCACATTTTCTTTGAGTTAATTTGTATTATCTTTGGGAAATAGCTGTATAAGCTGGCTTGCTAAATGATTGTTTCAGTGATCGCTGCTTGCCCAGATGTGGTTATGTTGCACTGAAGAAACAAGGGAGCTCCTGGGGATATGCTGAAGCTATCTCCTGAGTAGAGAAAGTGTTTTATTCTCACTCTTGTCCTTTTTGTCTTCAGTTCCATGATCTCCACAACCCATTGAATCCGATGTATTTTGAATTCACAAGTCATATTCGGGGCAAGAATGTTATATCCAGATGGAATCACACAGAAAGCTTCCACCTGGTCCCTGGCACCTATGTGGTGGTTCTCACAGTTGACAGAGAACGGAAGTTCTTCCTTCGAATCTTCCTGAAACATCAAGGTGTTTACAGGTGAAGTTATTCTGATCTCTCATGGGCCAATGGGGGAATGGATTCTAAATGTTCATAGGATCATAGAGTTAGAGTTGGAAGAGACTTCAGAGGTCATAAAACCCAACCCTCTTGTTTACATACTAGGGAACTGAGGCCCAGAGAGGTCAAGTCACTTGTTTGGGGATCACCCAGTTAGTAGGTATCCAAGAGAGAATACCAGGCCTTTCTAACTCCAAATCAAGCTCTCCTTCAACTACACCACACTGCATCTCCTGCAAAGAGCAAAAACATAAATGTGGTAATAACGAAGGCTGAGTGGGGTAAGAATCAAAGACCTAACAATCCATAGGACAACAGGTATAAAGTCGGATGAAACCTCAGAGACTAGCCAATGCCCTCACTTTACAGAAGAAGAAACTGAGGCCCAGAAAGGTCCCTTCCAGCTCTAAACTGATGGTCCTCTCATTCTATTAAGCCCCTGCTATGTGCCAGGCAGGAGCTAAGGACAAAGACTTGCCCAAGTTTGTACCACTAGTAAGTGATAGAGCTGGGATTTGAATTCAGGTCTTCCTTTCTCCGAACTATGCTACTCAACAGACCGAGCAAGTTCCCATGATTCCAGGCCCCTGGGCTAGGGGAATAGACTCTCTCTATCCCATGGAAGGAGCTCTTCTAGGGACTGATGCCATGTCATAGGAAGCCACTAAAGGAAGAGTTTACCAGGCTTCTTTTCCTATCACACTTTCTTATAACTTTCTTTCCTATAACACTTCAGTTAATTCATTTCAAACATATGTTATGGTCAGGAAGACCTGGGTTCAAATCCCATCTAAGCACTTATAAGCTATGTGACCATAGGCAAGTCAGAGGCAGCTATGGGGAATCATGGAGTCAGGAAGACTCGAGTTCAAATCCAGCATCAGACACTTATTAGCTGTGTGAATATGGTCAGGTCATTTAACCTCTATCTTTCTCATCTGTGAAATGGGAAGAAATAATAGTACCTACCTCCCAGGATTGTTGTGAGGCTCAAATGAGATAATATTTGTAAAGCATTTTGCAGACTTAAAACACCTTATAAATGCTAGCTATTATTATTACTTAATCTCTCTTTGCCTCAGTTTCTTCACATGAAAAACAAGGGGATTTGACTTGACCTCTATGATACTTTCCAGCTCTGAATCTATGATCCCATGGTCCTATTAAGCTCTTACTATGTGCCAGGCTCTGTAGTATGCAAGAGCTAATCATACAAAGAAGAAAAAAAAAAAGAAGAAGAGATACTTTTTTCACAAGAACAAACTCCAAAATCTGAAATAGTTTTAGAAAGGGATTTATTAGGTCATTTGGTAAAGATAGAGAGCCAGAAAAAAGGGGAATCTCCCTCCCAAACCTTTGTGAGGTTGCATTTGAAAGAGGTCAGACAAGGGCATAAGAACATTGGCCTGATTGGCCTCATGTAGGTAGCAGGTAGCCTCCAGGAGAAGAACAGTCTGGAGCTGTCTATCAGCAGGTAAGTCCATGATCCCCTAATTTAAGAAACCCAAAACACAAACTTTCGGTGGATCCAGAATAACACCTGAGGGGACCCAAAACAAACACTGAGTGGGATCTGAGCATTCCTTACTACCATCCTTCCGTGAGGGCAAGTATCTTCCGTTTTGTCTCTGAAGCCAGACTGACCTCTACAGTAAGCTTTTGGGGTTAGACCAAGTAAAGCTAGGTTCAAACAATATTAATAAATGATAAATAATAATCCACATGTTCCCTGACCTCAAGGAGGTTGCAGTTCATTTTCTGTTCTGGAAGATTATAGGTAGTCTAAGCAAGCAACTGAGTTAAATGCCCACATGTTCCTGGTTTTATAAACTGGACAACCACCTAGGATGCCCTTTCCATCTCCCATATTAAAACTGGATGCCGGTCATTCTCTTGCTTATTTTCTCCATTGATTTTTCAGGAAACTCTGCAAAGGCTTCAAGTTCACGAGCTTCAAGGTAAGTAGGCAGTGGGGTCTGAGCTGGGAGATCACTGGAAATCACCCTGATTTCCAGAAACTTATGTGTTTATTTTCTTTCTATCTCCTTACTGCTCCCCATAATAATTTGAGAGGTTACAATGAGCTAATGATGGCTTCTGAATTAGTTTAATTCAACCATCATTTACTAAACATCTGCTACCTGCAGAGTGCTGTGCAACGTCCTGAGGGAGATAAAAAGTCAAAATAAGACACAGTCTCGGCCTTCATGGAGCTTATAGTAGTAGAGGGATATTTTAAATAATATGTAACATATTACAGTGGTAATAATATGTAACATTACATAATAACATAAAATAAGTTATACGCACAAAAATATGATAAGCGCATTAAGGAGGGGAACACAGAGTGCTACATAAGATCGAGGTGGGCTGGGGTGGGGTGGGGCAGGAAGAAGGTTTTGTAGAAAAGGTGATATTTGATCTGTGCCTTAAAGGAGGAATAATATTTCATAAAGTAGGGAAAGGGAAGCAGTAACTGGAGAGAGAGAAGGAAGGAATACCATGAAGAAAAGAATGGAGACGAAAAAGCGTGGAAGATGTATGAGGAATGATAATAGCCCAATTTGACTGCAGCATAGAGGAGTTAGAGAAAATTAGCAGCAGATAAGGCTGGAGAGTTAGGGTGTCACCAAATTGTGGTGGGCCTTGCATGTCAGACAAAGAAGTTTGAAGTTTATTTGGCAGGCAATAAATAACTGCTGAAAGATTTTGAACAGAGGACTGACATGACCAGATTGATGTTTAAGGAACATTTTCCTGGCATTCATGTTTGGGAAGGCAGAGGAAGAGAGGAAGAACAGGAAAGCCTATTAAGAGAAGACTCCTGCACTAGTTTGGGGGGGTGGGTGGGAAATGAGGGCCTACACACATTCCCATGTGGCCATGGGAATAAAGAAAAGGAGATGTGAGAGAGCTTATGGTAGAAGGATTGATAGGACTTGGCTACTGATTAGATGTGAGAAGGAAGGAAATAAAGAAGAGTTGAAAATAACACCTAGGTTTTGAAAAAGTAACATGAGAAGGAGGAGTGGGTTTGAGGGAAAGATAATGGGCTCCATATTGGATACATTTTGCAGTCATCTTAGTAGAGGACATAGTTGAGGCCATGGGAGCAAATGGGATTACCAAAGGAAAGAACGTACAAACAAAAAGAGAAGAGAGATGACAGAATCTTTGGAACAGATGGTTGGCAAGTTGTGACAAGGATGAAAGAGAGATCATGTTTCCAATCCTAAATCTACACAACCTAAGACCAATCCTTTTTCTTCCCTGGACTTCAGTTTCCCCATCTGTAACAATACATGAGTATTAGTAGTTATGGGCAAGAGAGCAAGCTGTCAAGCAAGACGTCTGGCTCAGAATCAGGCGTGGGTTTTTAATTTCTCCACAGTGAAGCTGATTGGGACAGTGGGAAAAGTGCTTGAACTTTGAGTCACAGGACCAGAGTTCAAATCCAGGTTCCATCACTTACTACTCTTATGACTTTGACACGTCATTTAATACCTCCAGGCCTCAGTTTCCTCAACTGTATAGTTAGAGGATAAAATTAAATTGTTTCAAAGGTCCCTTCTGGCTCTAAATCTATGATCCTCTCTTCCAGAGTTTTGTTTTTTTGTTTTTTTCTTTTCTTAAAGCATAGAAGCTGCTTGAGAGTAGGGACTATTGGGGCAGCTAGATGGCAAAGTGGATAGAGCACCAGCCCTGGAGTCAGGAAGACCTGAGTTCAAATTTGGTCTCAGACCAGACACTTGATACTTACTAGCTGTGTGACCCTGAGCAAGTCACTTAACCCCAATTGTCTAGCCAAAAAAAAAAAAGGTGATAGAGAGTAGGTACTGTTTCTCTTTGTAATGGTATCCTTTTATCTTAGCATAGCCTAGTACATAGTAAGCACATAATTTACTTATTTATTTTTATTTATTCATCTAGAAGAATCTTCCAGAACTCCAGCATCATGAGATCATTTTCAACAGATATGCCCAACAGGTATAGTACCCTGAATTCAGAATTCCGCCAAATGACAGAGGGGAAAGTCACAGAAAAGAAATCTCTTGGACTCCTATCAGTGCTTAGAGACAAAAAAAAAAAGATAATATATCTCTGGTAGCATAGTTTTATCATCCTTCTTCAAGAGAATCCTTTCCAACATTGATCTGGCTGCCAAATGCTGCAGAGAAATGGCATCTCACCAGTAGGTTTCCCCTGGAATTGAATGGATGACTTGGTATAGGATGGGATAATTATTTTTTTTAAAAAAACCAAGCAATTAACAGTAACCCTTGAAATCTTTTTCCCCCTGATTGGAAACATTTCCAGCTCAAGCTGACTGGCTTTGGAAAGTACCATCATCACTCAGTGTTTGAGTAATTGATTCCTACTCTGCTCGCCAAGTTGTATGCGTTCACAGGAGATGCTCTTAATGGTTTAATAAACTGTTGGTTTAAATGGTTTAATAAACTCCTTGACTTAGTTGAGAGAAAAATCACTGCCAAGGGCTCCATGTGATAGACCTTTCCAGTTAGTAGTAATACCAGTGTGAGAAGGTGCAAATGATATAAACAGGCATACGTAATGTGCCAAGCAGAGAGACTCATGGAAGTAACCAGAGCCTACTGTGCTCAAACTCAAAGTCAAGTTGGCTCTGAAGGGATGAGTTAAGCGCAAAGAGCTAAGAGGATGTCTTCAGAGAGTCTGATCCCACAGGGAAGGAAAAAATAATTAACAGTGAAAGCAAAATCTGGTGTGAGGAAGATAGATAAAATGGTATGGTTTGCTATTTAATGTTTGCTAGAGAGTCAAGTCATAGGTATGGGCAGGTAAGAAAACACTGTGTTTAGGACCCAATAAGGCTGTGTTCCACATAGTTTGGAATGGTTACTTAAGGGGTGGGATGCAGGAATAGGAGCTCTGAAAAGTATGAAATGATATCATTATATCATTTATAATATAATTATCAATAGAGTAGAGGAAGTAAAACTACAGGTAGGCAAGTAGATTAGCTTACCCTAGGAACAATACCATTCCTTCCCCTCCCGCAACAAGCTCAGCTCCCATCAGGTTTAGGCTTGCTGGACCCAGTAGATAGACTTTGAAAAACTGGAAATAGCAGAGATAGTATTCATAGTCCACTTTCCTTTACAGTCAATATTAGAATATGCTTCAATCCAACCATTATTTACAGGCACATATTATGTAAAAGGTGTAGTGTTGGGCATAAGAGAGGATGAGAAGTTGCATAAAGCCCAGCCTCTGTCTTCAAGGGAATTTACAGTTTAACAAGAGGGTATGAGGATGATAAGGCACATACACAAATAACCATAATGCAAGACAAAGTGTGCCATAAGAATGGGATAAACAAGGTGCTCTTTTGTGAATAGAGAGATCACATTTGGATGTATGAATCAGGAAGGCTTCCTGAAGCAGGTGCCATTTGAGCCAGACCAGGAAGTTGCTTGAAGTTCCCAGCTCTTCTTGGAACTTTAGGCAAGACATTTTACATTTTTGTTCCTTGGTTTCTTGGTTTATAAATAAGGGGTTGGAATGGATGGCCTCTAAATGTTTCTTCCAGCTACCATCTCATTGTAGCACCTCCTTGAGGAACATTTCTTCAATTCTGCTCTCCTTGGTGGACTGAGTGCCTAGAAGGTAGCTAACTAATACTTCCCCTTAGAGTTCCAGGAGTGACCCTAAGGAGTTGAGATTTCTAGCATTGTCATTCATGAGCCGCAACCAGTGTGTTTTCCATTGATTATCCACCAGAGCTTTTAGAAAGCTATATTTACTAAGGTGATATGGTAAAAACAGAATATTTCCTCCCAAAATTATAAGGCTCCTTTCCCACAAGTACACACAGAGAGTCCAGAGGAAGACTATCTTAAACTAAGAATACAATGGTAGTCAGGTATATATGTATGGAACATGTATGACCACAGAGTAAACCCAAATTGCCTGCTTACCAAAGTCCTTTTTTGAGTCCAAAGTTAGCATTCATTTTGGATCAAGGGGTCATGTGGCTTAAAGGTACTTCCTCCCTCAGATAGCCACAACTATTTATTTACATCTCTCTATGTCTATATTTGTTTGTGACATGTCTCTCCCCGCTACAGATTAAATGCATTGTTTCCTATTAATGGAAAAGACTGGGAAAAGGAGAGAGATAGAGAAACTCTGCCCTCCTCCCCACAAAAAGAGCAGTTGTCCCTCAAGGGTTTGTCTCCAACTGGAATTCTCAATTCCAAAGCTGAAATCCTCCACTATTCTACTGTACCCTTCTGGACTGAATTCCCTGGTGGACTGACTGCTATTTTATACATGGGTCCCATGGGTGTCACTGATCCTCTCAGCCAATCAAATTGCTGCCTTTCTTGATCCAATAAAAAAAGACCCACAGCTTGTAAAGAGATCACTGGGTATAAACTGTCTTTACACATTTAAAATTGATCACATCTGGTTGATTGATTGATTGAATTAGTTGGGGTGGGAGAGGAATCCCACTTTTATGTCATGATGCTTTGTTTTAACCTTAAACACTATTTAATGATCTAAATTATGAGGCCTTATACAAAGCTGATGCATAAGTATTAATGGTGTGCTCCTTTCTGCCCTATCACCTTGAATCTGCCCCCATAGGACTAGTCTTACACCTCTTGATATAATTGTACAATATCCCATGACCCCTCCCCCAGTGCTGTCATATACTGCTTTCAAACTTACCACTAGACAATGGAAGCAGAGAGAACACATTCCTTTAAAGTAGATTCTCTTCCCAAGGGTTCACCTGAACCTTCATGACAACCTTCCCCTATCTCCCTGTCCTCAGATCCTCTCCTATGGTGAGCAATGGAACTTTCATGGGGTGTACAGTGGCCTGCTGCAAAGCAGGGCTTGCTCTAGCATGAGACTGATGGAGGACATTGGTGTTCAGCCAGACAGAAAAGCTGCTTTCTCCCTTCCACTGTGTGAGGGGGGTGGAGTGTGAGTCAGGAAAGTTCCTTCACTCTAGCAGCTGTTAAGGGAGGCTTCACTAATTACTACCCATAATTTACATAAGGGCTTAGACAGATGCATGTGTTCATGTGATTGTGTGTACATGTTAATAGCTTTCCCTGTCGTTCTAAAAAATAAAATGTTGTGTAGGCTAGAAAGCAAGAATTGGACTGAGAATCAGAAGATCTGTGCTCACTCCTGGCCTCTTACTAATTGTGTGTCCTTAGACAAGTCTTCTGAGGCTCAGTTCCCTAATCTGTAACACGGAGATAATAATTCTTGTACAACCTACCTCACAGGGTTGTTGTAAGGAAAAGGTTTTGTAAACCTTAAAATGTTGTAGAAAAGTAAATACTTATTATGACTCATCTGATTATATAATACACCAACTTGGGGCAGCAGTATGTCACAGCGGAGGGTGCCTTGACTCTGGAGTCAATTACGTATCTCTGTGATTTGGGGCACGTCACTTGGGCCTGTAAAAAAAGGAGGACTATACTAAGTGACCTCTGAGATGCTCTTTAGCTATAGAATGATCTCCCTTCTTACCCAGTAGATTCTCTAGCTTCCGTCAAAGTTTAGCTAGATGCCACATCCTCCCAACTTTTAGCATTCTCTCCCTCTTGAAATTACTTTATACATATACACATATATGCTTCTTCTTGAATATAAAGATATATATATGTGTGTGTACATATATGTGTGCATGTATGTATATATGTATATGTATATGTATATACAGGCAGCTAGGTATTTCGGTGGTTAGAGCATTGGGCCTGGAGTCAGGAAGACTTGAGTTCAAATTCGGCCTCAGACACTTACTAACTGTATATCCTGGGAAAGTCACTTAACCTCTGTTTGCCTTAATGCACTGGGGAAGGAAATGGCAAACCATTCCAGTATCTTTGCCAAGAAAACCCCATGGACAGTATGATCCATGGGGTCTTGAAGAGTTGGACACAACTGAACAACAAACAACAACGAATGTACACATCTATCTATTATACATGTGTGTAGACATATATGTACACGTGTATATGTTTCTTCTTTACTTTCTGGTCCAACGGTATACAATGGTTATGCTAAGAACAATAGCAACATTATGACCACATTTGAATGATGACCAGGCATCCTTTGGTCTTAACCTATTACACAAACCCCATGTTTGTACCTGGCCTATAAACTGTTTATAGATAACAACTAACATTACAATACTTTAACATTATCAAAGTATTTTAGATATACTATCTCATTTGATCTTCACAACTCTCTTGTGAGGTAAGTGCTATTATCCCCATTTTATGGGTGAAGAAACTGAGACTCAGAGAGGTCCAGGGTCACTGAACTAATAATTCTCTCAAGCACAATTTGAACCCAAGTTTTTGTTTATTTGTTTGCTTGTTTGTTTTACTCCAAACCTAGGGTTTTGTCCCCTACAGCATACTGCTTCCCATTCCTGAGTATTCAGGGATCCTAGAGGTTAAAGTCTCACTTATCTCTTAGGTACTGCCATCCCATTTCCCAGTAGATCTTCCATTTGATGAGAGACAGGTATCTTTTATTCAGTTAAGCACGTGAACAGGGACCCTTTGGGGAGTGTTCCTGAACCTTTGCTGAAACAATACGGATGGTATTTGACTATTGAAATCAATAACTTCCTGTCCAGAAAAATTATCTACCCTAGTTTCCCTGAAATGACTTCTTTTATGTTGCTTTGCACAGCATTTTAATTCCACCTCTAAAAGATGGCTACTCTAAGCCTCTAACTTACTCCAAATAACTGTGTTATTCTCATGCAACCCCATCATACAATCCAGAGTCTAACAGAACCTTACTAAGTCTGGGTAATGGGGGAAAATACTAATCTCAATAAAAAGTCTAAATTACAAAATACTTGTGACAAAGTTCCTAGACTTTCTCAGTTCACAGTGCTCTTAGTACCTCGGTAATTTTTTTTACAGTGCCCCTAGATCAAAAGAAATACCTAACAGTTCCATGTATTAAGTAGTTAAATCAAAATTTTAAAATATCCCATGTCACCCCATAAGTGTTCATCATGGCACCCTAGGGCTCTGCTACACACAGTAATGTACCTTAAGTAATGCACCTTAATATTTTTAAGTATACTCCATGGCCTCCCATTGCCTCTAGAATAAGATATAACTATCTCAACCTGGCATTTAAAGCACCCTTGTCTTTATATTCTTATTTCATACTACTTCACTTCCAGAAAACCAGCTCCACCATGAAATCTCCTTGGTAGCTGCCTCTTCATTCATTCAGGTCTTCATTCATTGACTTGGTAGGAGTTTCACATTTATAATATCCTATCCCCTCTCCACCCCTAACCTTTGCATGAGTGGTCCATCATGAATAGAATGCACTCCCTTCTCACCTCTGCCTTGCAGTTCTCCTAGTTTCCATCAAAGCACAGCTCAGATACCACTTCCTACACAAAGTCTTTCTGAATCCTTCTGTATAATAGCATTCTCTTCCTCTTAAAATTACTTTTTATTGAATTGCTTGTACTTTACATTTACTTTTTATTTCTTTATATATTATATCCTCCTATAAGCAGCTCCCTTAAAGTCAGGTACTGTTTTATTTTTGTCTTTGAATCTCCATAACCTACCATAGTTCCTGACTCATAGAAAGTGTCTTGGAAATATTTGTAGAATTTATTTGAATTTAATTCAATATCTGGACCAAGGCTGAGTATTATGTGGTAGCCATATTGAGGGAAAGAAGGGTCCTTTATTCATCATCATAATTCATTAAATGTGGTATTATGTTAGTTACTGGGGACAAGTACAAGATTCTTGACTCAAGGAGTCTGTTATTTAGTTGAGAAGACAAGATATATGAAGAAAACTGACACAAGATAGCATCTGTTAAGTGTCCAATGAGTGGCAGAGACAATGACCATTACTATTTAACAGTCAGACATTTCATAGAGAAGCTGGGACTTGAAGGGTACAATTTGAAAGAAAAAAACATTTGTCAGGTGCCTACTCTGTACAGAGATGGTAAAATGGGACTTAGAAAAGTAGAAAGAAGGGACAGTGGCATTCCAGGCACTGCCCAGGATGAAGAAATGGCATATTCAGGAAACAATGACTAAGTCCAATTTGGCTAGAGTAGATAGTTCATGAGGGAGTCAATTAGATTAAGGGTTGTTGGAGATAAATTTAAAATGTAGGTAGAGAGTGGTCAGATTTTGAAGAGCCTTGAATGCCAGATTAAAAATGAATTTTATTCTGAAAGCAATGGGGAGTCATTGAAGGTTTTTTAAACAGGGGAATAATGTATGCAAAGTGATTTTTTTAGAACATTGATTTGGCTGTGATAGGTTGGATGGATTGGAGCAGAGGAAAACTGGGACTATGAGACTTTTTAGTCATCTGGCATTAAGAGACAAGAATAGGGCAATTGGAATAGGAAGGAAAGTAAGACAACAAAAAGGAATAACAAATAGGATCTTCTGACTAACTGGTTGTTGAAGGAGACAAAGAATGAAGAGTTGAGAATGATCTTAATTTATCTATCCTGGAAGCTGATAGACAATGGTAATACTTCAATTCAGGGCAGTTGGGTGGCGCAGTGGATAGAGTGTCAGGGTATGGAATCAGGAAGACTCATCTTCCTGAGTTCAAATCTGACCTCATATGCTCACTAGCTGTGTGATCCTGGACAAGTCACTTAACCTCGTTTGCCTCAGTTCCTCATCTGTAAAATGAGCTGGAGAAGGAAATGACAAACCACTCCAGTATCTTTGCCAAGAAAACCCCAAATGAGGTCATGAAGAGTTGGACACAACTGAAAAATGACTGAACAATAACAATACTTCAATGGACATGCTCTCTCACTGGTGGGGATCAATGAAGATTGAATCAAGATTGAAAAACAATCCATACTTTCTCATCTTTTGTAATTTTTATACATTCTCCACAAAAGATGTATTCAGTGCATTGGTTAATACAGAGAAGTCAGGATGGGCAGTTTGTTTTGAGGAAAAGATAATGAAGTTAGTTTTACACATGTTGGATGTAAGGTGAGAGTGAGATGTTCAAATACAAATGCTTAGCAATCAGTTAGAGATGTGAAACAGAAGCTCAGAAAGCAATAGGATTAGAGATAAGGATTAAGGACTCATATGGTATGGGTGATAATTAAAGTCTAGAGAATATGTGACTGAAATTCCTTGAAGAAGAGGACAAAATCTTTCATTATGGATTTAAAAGTAAGTGTTAGAATAAAATGACTCTTGGGAGAGGTGACACATTGCCTTAAGGTCACACTAAAGTATAAATGTCAGATACTTTCTTGAAAGTAGCTTTTGATGAGGTGGGAGGAGTGGGTACAAGGGTACAAGTGTCATATCTGGATACCTCAAAAACAAAGGCCTTGAAGGCAGACAGTTACAATCTCAGAAATAGAGCCTAGATGCCTCAGAATGGCCTTTTCACAGGGTGACCTGTATCAGAAGACTGATTCCTCCCACCCCCCAACCATTAGGGGGATACAAGCATAGTTATAACATGCAGATGCCCAGAGAGAGAAAAATGCAGAGTTTCCTTCACCACTTTTTTAAATTAATTAATTTCTTTATTTTTAGTTTTCAACATTCACTTCCACAAGATTTTGAGTTCCAAATTTTCTCCCCATCTCTCTCCTCCCACATCCCCAGATGTCATGCATTCTGAATATCCTTTCCCCAATCTGCCCTCCCTTCCATCACCCCTCTTTCTTTTATCCCCTTCCCCTTCTATTTTCCTATAGGACAGGATAGATTTCTACACCCATTTCCTGTATCTTATTTCCCAGTTGCATGTAAAAACAATTTTTAACATTTAAAAGAAAAAGCTTTAGGTTCCAGATTCTCTCCCTTCCTCCCTCCCCATTCCCCTCATTGAGAAGGCAAGCAACTCATGAACCAGGGTACCAAGAGAGACACAGACATGTCTATATCAGGGAAGTCCCTCAGGGATCTCAAAATGTAATTGAGGAAGGCCTGTGCCCTGAAGGGTTACCTGGAACTAAATTACTCTCGATGAACAAATGGATATGCCAAAAGGTTCCACAATACAATATCAGCTGATCTAATAACAGCCAGCAACTTGCCTGTCTGCCCATCGCTGAGAGAGGGCCATCTCTGATCTTTCCCTATCCATGGTCCTGACTAAGCTAGATGCTGTTAGCTCTGCTGTTACCTGTAGCTATGGTGCTGACAAGCACACTTGGCACTTGAGGAAAAAGGATCAGGGTGAGAGAGGGATCCTCAAGGACAACTAGTCTAATGCCTCCTTGCTTTACAGTTGAAGAAACTGTGTCTCAAGAAGATTCCGTGATATGCCTAAAGTCACAGGCAGGGTCAGAGGAGGGATTTGACTACAGGTCTTTTGACTATACAGTATTCTTTACCTCTTACCCTAAGAGTGTGTAAGGATCAAAGTATCAAAAGACAAGATAGACAAGCAACAAAGAACAATCTGACAAATTTATTAAGGGCTAATTATAGTTCCCTATGATAATAAATCTAGTTTCCCTGAAAAGGGGTAGTCCATAACACCCAGATTAATCAAAAATGAGGAGAGATATGGGTGCTGGTATTCTCCTCCTGGCTTTGTTCCCTTTTCCTCTCTAGATGCTAGGCAAGTCAGGGCATGACCAGCTTTCATGATTATCACAGATCATTGCTTTTTTTTTTTCTTTTTTGCTAAGGGCTAGAACAGTAAGTGACCTGAGAGACGCACACTCAGAGTACACTCTTGTCCTTTTTTAAGGTCTTGAATTTTCTATCTGTATAATGGGAAGGCTAGAGTAATCAATACGATATTTTTGTGTGCCTTCTTTTTCTGTCATTAGCACTGTTCTAGACACTATGGAAAATACACAACAGTATAAGATGTAGCTCCCTTTTGATGTATACCTTCCCCGATCTCTAGTTTTCAGCTCCCTTTCTCAGAAGTAGTATATTTTTACTTCTCACAACTCCAAGAGAATGCAAACTCTTTGAGATCAGGGATCTTTTTCATTTTTATCTTTGAATCTTCAGAATCCAGCAAGTGCCTGGCACAGAGTAGATGCTTTAAAATGTACATTACTTTTAAATGAACTAAAAAGAAAAGAGTATCATACTAGAAGACAGTGTTAAGTGACAAAGAAGCAATACACCTAGTAAGTACTTTGGCAGTACAGAGTTCACAGGAAATTAAGATCCCTATGGCCAAGAAAAATTGCATAATGGAAGTGAGGCTTAGCTTATGCCTCCAGGATTCTATGTACTATGTGAATTAATTCCTTAGAATACTTGGCTCTTCTATAGTAAGTCAGGTGTTGGTATCAGACAGATGCTGAGTGCTCTTTTTAATAATCATTGCTATTACTATTCCAATCTTCTCTTTTTTGCCATAGGGCCCAGATATGGATGCTTCACAGCTGCAAAGCCTTCTCAACAAAGAACTCCTTAAAAGTAAGAGATGCTTGCCTGGTTAGAATGTCACCTACTATACCCTAGTAAATGTAGTCATTGCTTCCTATTTCCCCATTATTTTGTCCTTCTTCTTTCCTCAGGTAACTCTTCTGAATCCCTAGAAAGAAAGTTCACCTTTGATGAGTGCCGGAGTATTTTGGCTCTAATGGATGTATCCTTCATGTCATCTCTTTTCCCCATCATTTCACCTCACTCTAAAGCCACTTCTATCACATATGTCTAAGAGCACCATTCTGTGATTCCTTAAAGAAGCTTGATGTGGGAAATTCAGGACTAATTCCATTTCTCATTATTCAGTAGTCTAAGGACTCATATGAGGGAATGAATCTCCATTGATTCTGTCCACAGTAGCTCTTTAGGACCTAATCTGCTGAGTTTATCTCCAACTATTGAGAGTGAGAAGCTGAAGTTAGATGTGGAGGTAAAGAGAATGATTGATTTTAAACATACTGAATTGAAGGCACAACTGGTAAAGTGAAAAGTCCACTGAGTCTGCTTTTGGAAGATTTGGGTTGAAATGATACTTTCAATATACCACCTGCACAACCTAGAAGTCACTTAACCCTTCTGGATCTCAATTTCCTCATCTTTAAAATGAGGTCTTTGAACCAAGAGGCCTCTGAGGTCCTTTCTAGCTTTAGAGCTAATTGCAATAAGCTGAAGGAGGGTAGGGGCATTCCAGTGCAGATGCCTCCTCAGCAGTTGGAGAAAGGAGATTAAAACAACCAAAAAGAAGGAGTAGAGATATAGATTGAGTGGTCCTATGGATACAGGGGATAGCTGAAGACAAAAGTGCGTGTGTCTGAAATTCCTCATACAGTGGATAAGACCTTTTGTTCTATAACTAGATATAAGGCTTAAAATGTAAAGATCCCTGGGAGATGTAACATGTTGACGTCACACTAAGCTTTAACTTAACTCATAAGATCACCTATTTCTAGGTGGAAGGGATGTCAAAAGCCAGCTAGTCCAACCCTATAGTTTACAGATGAGGAAGAGTAAAGCCCAAGAGACTTTCCTCAGGTCACATAGTGTCTGAGACTGGGTTTGAACTCAGATCCTGTGACCTGAGTCACTCTTTTGACTGTGTATCAGGTCCTTTACTGAGAGTATATTTAGATAAGGGAGAAAGAGAAGCTGCCTTCCTGAATCTTCCTTGGCCCAACATCTTTTTACTCCTTTTTTCCCCTGAGAAATCTCAATCATCTCTCAACAAGTTTCCTATTCAGTATCCCCTCTATATTTCAGGCTGAGAGAGAGAAAGATAGACAGAAAGATAGAGAGACACAGAGAGACAGAGACAAGACAGAGAGATACCAAAAAAGAGAGAGACAGAGACAGAGTGAGAGAGACAGAGATAAGACAGAGGGATAGAGACAGAGAGAGACAGGGGAGGGAAAGGGGAGGGGGAAAGAGAAGAAACCAGCTCTGCCATGAAATCTCCTTGGTCACTGCTCTAGAAGCTATTCATCCTGTGTGTGTGTGTGTGTGTGTGTGTGTGTGTGTGTGTGTGTGTGCATGCATGTGTACTCCTGTGCATTTACTGTACCTTTTAGAGTGAGACAGATCATGTCACTCTCCAACTGTTAACAAGACTCTATTGGAAATGCATTGCTGGTCATTGTAGAACAAGAGGGCTTCTTGATGAAAACGTAAATCAGCCCCCTGTCTCTCCCAATATTTTTGCTGAGGCTTGGAATAGCTCTGCACCATGACTAGGACATTACAGATCTCTGACAGATGAATAAAAATGGCCAGAGGCAAGCCCACTGCCTGTAGAGGGCAGGCAGCTTTAGAAAAATCTATGAATGCTGGGCATATGCAAAAAGCTGACAGAGTCTTTTTCACCAATTCTCCTTTCATCTCTCAAATTTCTCTCTGAGATGGATTGTTTCGCCCATAGGTTGCTGTCCAGACCTTTGGACAGTATGACTTATTCTGACTTTCAAATATAAGAGGTGTTTTATTTGATGAAGGCAGCCGCAGAGAGTGAGTAAACATAGAAACTTCCTGCTTTAGGACCCTGAAATGACCCTCTCTAAATGACCCTCCCCCCCACTAACTATATAGGAAAAACCCTGTCTCGCTCTGTCAAGTGGTACATCTATGGCAATATGGCCTTCTTTGACTACCAGGATTGCCATGAGAGAATCATGGTTCTCACAGGAAGCAGCTACAGTGATGAAGCAAGAAGGAGGCAATAATAAGCTCATTGTCCAAATCCAGACTGATCCCTTCTTCAGCCCCATTCATGCCCAGCTGGAACATTTGCTAGATCCTTCTTTTTTTCACTGACCATGCTGCCTAGCAGGTGAAAAATTCTTGAAGAAAGAGGTGTGGCATCTCCTGAAATCTTGTGAAAGTCAGATGGATGTGAAAGTGGAACTGAACCTTTAGAGGTGAAAAAATTTATAAAAATGAGTGTGCATTTGTAAACATAGTGCAGAAGGATGTATGAAAGATGCTGAGGATATCTTCAAGGTGTGTTTATTCAGCAGACAATAGCTCATATTTATACAGGGCTTTTGGAAAGTGCTTTCCCATCTCAGGCTTTATCAATACAAAAAAAAAAAATCAGAGTGTGGGGGGGTAAGTTTCTCCATCCCAACACTGATATGTTTAATAAGTGTTACTGATATTTATTAAAAAAACTCTCCCCAAATCGTGGAAGACAATCTATGGGTTTGTTCCACCTTCTGAAGACTTAGCGGGGCTTTCTCTTTCAGCCGAACTCCTAGTTCCTGTCTTTCTCTTGAAGAAAAATCTAAGCCAGGTGTATTTTAGGACATGGACATTCAGTCCAAATGAAATATAACTGGTTCATGATGATCTGGGTTGTCTAGCTGTTGTTAGTTTGCCAGTTTGTGACTGAAGCATGGCTCCATTGATGGCAAGACTAGAATTAGCCCCCCTGCTCATTAGCACACTGCAGAGGGTTGATCTTAACTCCCCTTCTGGCACAGGTCAAGGCTAATGGACGTCTTGACATACAAGAATTTAGGCAGCTGTGGAAGAAGCTTATTCGATATCAGGTAATGATCTAAAGTCTTATTAAGTTCAGTTCAGTTCAAGTATAGCGGAAAAAGCACTGGATGAGGAAGTGAAAAGATATATGCCTTAGCCACAGCCCTGTCACTAACTAGCTAGTATAATATAAATTCCTTAAGGATATGGATTCTCTTGCTTTTGCATTTGTATCTCCATACCTTACATAGTAAGTGCTTATGAAATGCTTGTTGATCTAAGTTGATCTAGTTGTGTGACCTTGAGCAAATCACTTTATTTCTCTGGGTTTCAAATTCCCAATCTGTTCAAATTAGAGAGTTAGATTATACGACATGTTCAAATCCCACCTCAGCTACTCACTGGCTGTGTGACCCCAAGCAAGTCAGATCACCTCACCTAGCCCCAGTTTCCTTATTTGCAAAATGAGGAATTTGTAAACTTTGTAAAACACCTACTTCACAGGGTTGTTGTAAGGATCAAATGAGGCAAATAAGATACTTTGTAAATTTTAAAGCTCTATGTAAATGCCATCATTCTTATAAATGTTTTTGAATTAGAAGATTTGGGATCTTCCTTTATTTTTAGGATAAAGCAAACACCAAGAGTTGAGCAAAAGCCAGTTTTTCCATGTTTCCATGAAAAGTTTCCATGTTGCTATTTTGGTCTCTCATAAATCATCCCAACCAGAATCTCCCCAAAGATACATTCAGTCCCACAACCTGCCTTCTTGGTATTTTGTCTGGAAGCAGTAATCCTCCATAGGTGTTCCTGGGTGACCTTCAAGGGAAAGAGATACACAACCCATGCTAAACAGGTTGGAAAGAAACAGATCTAGTTAGAACAATAGTGGCCCAAAACAAGCAAGCCATTGTGAGGGAATTAGGAGAAGGCAACGGATAGCAATGAGAATAAGCAGAGAATACCAAGGCTGTTGCATATGCAATAATAGTAGTCCAGCCGTGGTAGTTTTAAGTGTATTGTTGGCCCTCATGCATTTTATTCCATTCCTCATCTCTACCTTACCTGTTTTCCATAGCCAAATCCTATTGCAGTATTCTAAAAATAACCTTCATGGATAATCAATCAACAAGCATTTATTAAATGCCTACTATGTGCCAGGCATTGTGCTAGGCATTGAAGATGTAAAAATAACAAAATAGTCCTTGTCCTCAAGGAGCTTACCTTGTACTGAGAAGTTCCAGAGCATTATTTTAAAGATAAGAAACTTAGACCCTCATTGACTTTTCAATTCTTAGAGAAATAGTAAAACATTATTAAAAATTATTATTATATTCAGATAGTGCTTTAAGGTTTACAAAGGACTTTACAAATATCTCATTTATATTCACAACAACACTGAGAAGTAGATCATATTATTATGCCTATTTTGTAGATGAAAAAGCTGAACCAGACAGAGGTTAAGTGACTTGTCTAGGATGACATAGATAGTAAGTATCTGAGGCTAGATTTGAACTCAGATCTTCCTGAGTTCAGGCCTGATGCTTTATCAATACAGCAACCTAGCTGGAGCTAGAGTCAAATTTTAGTTTTAGCATTTGCTGCATGATTCTGGACAAGTCCTTTAATGTCCCTCAATTTGGTCATCTTTTAAATGAGGATAAATAATACTTGCTCCAGCCTAAATACCTTGTGAGGAAAGGTCTTGAGATCAGGGGCCATGTCTCATTTAAACTATTGTTTCTCTCCCAGTGATTAGCACAGTGATCTTTACACATTCTTATCTCTCTGTTTCTTAGTTTAATGAATGAATTTATTCTTTTCCCATATAAGGGCATTTTCTGGAAAGTAGAGAAGAATGGCTCTGGATTCCTCATGGGTTTTAATCTGCAGAAAGTCATACAAGAATCAGGTACAAAAGGGTTTTGTCTAATCATCTCACCTTTATGAGCATCAGTTTCCTCATCTATAAAATGGAAATAATAATATTCATAGTGCCTATCTCACATAGGGTTGCTGTGAAGCTCATTTGAGATGAAATGTGTAATTTCTTTTTTTAAAGTGGTATTTGAAGATTGTAAAGCACTTTAAACTGCTTAAATGTCAATTATTAAAATGATTACTGTTATTTCAGTGAATCAGGTAGAAGAGGTTAAATGACTTGCTCAAGGTCATACAGCTAGTATGAGTCAGTGGCAAGTCTCAAATACAGGTCTGCTTGACCCCAAGGCTAGTTCTCCATCCATTATGCCACACTGCCTCTCAGAGCTTTCTGGGGTTACTAAAACACAGATAGTATAACTAGCTAGTTCAAAAACAGACCATCTCTCCAATGGCTTTCTTTTGTAATGATCCAAAACTGAAATGGGTCTGTGATCTTGTCAATATGGGTACTTCTTCCAACTGTACAGATTGCAACCCTTCCCTCCCCTCTCATCATGTATGACTCTTGTTCTTGTACTCTTTGAAATACAAGAGGGAGAGAGAAAGAGAGAGAGAGAGAGGAGAGAGAGAGACGTAGCTAACATATTCCAAGCAAGATTATCCCAGCCAAGCTGGATGGCTTCAGGAGAGAGGACGGCATTGCACCAAGTTCCTTCATTCTGCTGACCTCTACTGGCTTCCAGGGCTCAGATACTCTCAGCACCCGGCAGGTTTCTCATGTGTTGGCATGTTTTTCCTAATTGGCTTTTCTCCCCCAAGCATCTCTAATGGTGAGAAAATAGCTCTGTCTGATTGATAAGCTCCTGGAAAAAGAGCTCACATTAAAGATGTTTCCATCTCAGCATCTGGCCAGCCAGAGTGTAATATCCCCTGGCAGATTGATGGATCCTTTTCAGGAGGGGTTTGGAGCTAAATGAAATTGAGTGAAATCTGTCTGATACATAGAAGGAGGAGGCAAATAGAAGAGGACATGTAAGTAGCAGAAAAAGCTTAAATTCAGGGTCAAGATTTATTAGTTAATGCTGAAGTTTTACCAGAAGTACACCTTGAACTGAGGCTGGCCTAGGGATAGGCAAGGTAGGTAGCTGTCCAGGGCACAACACTCAGGTTGTCACCAAAAGGAATTGTTTTTAATTTAATATTTTATTATAAATGCATTTACCTTTAATATCATAAGTCTGTTTTCCAAAGCACCTAGATTTTTAACTTCTGGTAAGTTAAAGCGAATGTGTTACAATGAAGGGATGCTGGACACTCCTAGCAAGCTAAAAAGGGGGGAAAAGTGAGGAAAGGTTACTATGTCCCAGCTCCACCTTTAAGTAAATTTCATAAAGTCCTAGAAGGCAAAAAAGGCCAAGGCCAATCATGCTTGGCCTCTTCACTTAATTCTCATCTTGAGTCAATAACACACTCTTTTGTCATCAGAATTATTCCTAGATACTTCCATTAACAGTGAGCTACTAGACCTCATGGCCATTAGGTATGGAGATGGAGCTGGAAAAATATATCTCGCAGACATAATCTGTTTCCTCATCCGGATTGAAATCATGTCAAGTAAGTAAAGCTAATGGGGGGCCTAACTTCCGGGAAGCTCTCACTCAATACACTCACATTGAGTTTGACAAGGCAGAAGACAATTGTGGGGATTACCATCACTGACCTTCAGAGAGATCAGGTGGAAGGGAGGTGGAGCTAACTGGGTCCTGCCTCTATAATCAGCAAGTATCTATAGATGAGGTACCCTTTCCCAATATGCCTGAAGGAACAGAGCCAACTTTAGGCAAAGTGGTTTAAAGAAAAAGGTAAAATTCAGAGGATCACTGCATTTGAGATCTGGGAGGTACCCTAGATTCTACCTAGTCTGAACCTCTCATAGTCAAATAAGGAAACTGAGAGTCAGAATCAGGAAAAGATTTTCCTAAGGTCACACAAGTGATTTGGACTTGGGTCAAATGGTCCTTGTTTGCCTTGGGTGCCTCCAGTATCTCTTCACCGTTTTCCCCCAACATAGGACCCCTTTCTTCCTCTTCATTTACCTAGTGCCTCCTCCTTTCTTCCTCATCCCCTTCAAATTCCCTAATATCAATCAACATCTCAATATCAGTTATTTATATCATAATATGAATTCAATATTGTTATCTTTCTCTTAAGGATAGAATGAAATTTTTGATCCTTGGATAAAATAACTTCAGACCTTAGCAATCAGAGGGGGAATATATTGGCAAGCAGTCCTTCTCCCATTGCCTCTGAAATCTCTCCATCTTGGCGGCTTCCTGCTTTGTTCCCTCCATCCTTAAATGCCCATTCTCAAAGAGGAATTAAGAGTGAGATTGTTAGAGACTTTAAATCAAGTCTGAAGGAGCTGCCAGGACACTGAGTTCTTCCCTTATTCCTGAGTCACTGCCAATTTTCAGAGGAGGAAATAGGTACAGAGCAGGAAAGTGACCTTCCTAAGGTGTTTGAATGTTCCTCTGCATTTGAATCCCAGCTGTGCCAATCATTGTATTTCCGACCTTAGGATAGTCATTTGACTTCTTTGGCCTTCAGTTTCATCATCTGTTAAATGGACAAGTTGGTCTATATGGCCTCTGCTGTCCCCTCCAGCTCTATATTTCTGATTATAAGATCAGCAGCAGAGGACCTGGCAAAGACAGCTTAAGAAAAAGTCTTTGGTGTACAATTCTGCCATCAATTAACCAGTATTGATTAAGTTTCCATAGCATGTCTGAGTCTATACTAGACTTTCTTAAGGACATGAAGAAATCTAAGATTTATGGAGCCCTTATGCCAGGGAGCTCACAGTCTGTTTGTGGAGGCAAGATTAATGCTGCAAAATGAAAAATAAAGTATGCCAAATATAACAGAAGACAACTAAATATTATTGTTTGTGACCCCAGCTCTAACTGCTGAAGAAATATAGAGAAGAGAGAGATGAGTGTGGGTTAGAGTCATCAGAAAAAGTTCTTTGGAGGGGGAGAGGCACCTGGGCTGAACTTTGAAAGGATGAAGAGATGGATTTACTTGAAAGGGTAAGTGGAAAGAGGACTTCTAAGTAGGGACAATGTGAGCAAAGGAATAGTAAGGAAATTTTTTTAAAATGCCAATAGAAGCATGTAAAACCCTACTTACCTTTCCACTTGCCTCTTCCATTTGCCTTTCTCTCCTCTTTTCTTCCTCTGAATGAAGCAACCCTTTCTTCTCCTCCCCATAGACTTTCCTGCCATTTTTAAAAATTATGAATTTAACCAAAATGAATGTTTGTAATATATAAAGAACAACAGAAAGGAAGGGTCATGTCTACTCTGTGTACATTTTGTTTATTCCTATTTATGCACAAATAGTCTCTCCCGTTAGAATGTAAGCTCCTTGAGGCAGGAATGGTTTTTGGTTTTTCTTTGAATCCTTAGGCACAGTGTCTGGCAATTAGAGAGTGCTTAATAAATATTTGTTGATTGATTGACAGGTTGCATATGAAATTGTGAAGTTTTATTACACACAGCTTTTTAAAATGTAATTAAATTCAACATGGTGGTAACAAAGCTGCCTTGTTTATCTAGAAGGGGGACACCTTCTAAACTTCTGTGCATTTTTAAAATATTTCATTGACATTCTTGTCTTTTTTCTTTTTCTTCTCTCTCTCTTTCTCTGTCTCACACACACTCACACACACACACACACACACACACACACACACACACAACCACTATCTAGGGGCTTTTCATAACCTCTCAAAAGATGGGAAAGGACTCTACTTGACCAAAACTGAGGTAAGCCTGTTTCCTCTTTCTATCTCAATGCCTGGAAGCTCCAAAGCCCAGGCCCTGATCTTCTTTTAGCAAGATGGTACTTTTTCCTTGGACTTAATCCAAGGACATTTATCTCTGTGGACATATTGAGCAAGCCTGGTGCCATGCAGTACATCAGAGCCCAGCAGCTCCCCTCTCCCCAATTACAGCCTTTATATATTGCTTTCCGTTAGCACTGCTTTAAGGTCTTGGCAGATGGATTTTATTTTTTTCCCAAAGGCTTAATAAACCAAAAGATTATGTTGGAGCAATAAATACAGGAAGGATAGGAAGAACAACTCTGAGCTTGGGGCACCATTTAACTTTGTCATGTTGGGTTGGTAAAGAAATAGTCTCTAGGCCTGACCAATAGGCACATCTCTCTGACATGCTGGCCTCTCCTGTTTTTACTGAGATGACAGGAGAAATATATGAGCATCCAGGGAAGCTTTGGAGGGAACCATTTCAACCTTACTGTGGTCTCTCCAGTTATTTTCCTTGACTTAGGATTAGCCAGGGTGAAAGAGGGATATAGAGGAACAGGAACAACCCAGGATAATAGAGTATCTATTGCCCTGGGGTACTGGACAATGATGAAAGGAGACATTAAAAAATGTTTGAAGGAAGTTGAATTTGTGTTAATGTGAAAAGTTACAATATGCTTTCTGCTTGGACTTGAGCAATGGTGAGGGAGGAATGGGGTTGGGGGGAGGGTCTTGAAGATAATGTTGTTTTTCTTTTTTTCCTAGTGGATCAAGTTCACTATGTATTGCTGAGTCACTGATCAAGCCTTATAGAGAAGGTAAGAAGTTGCCTTAGACTTTCTCCCAAAAATAAGCACTCCTTTGTTCAACTCCCCACCAATGGCTATAAGATTCCTTCCCAAGGGTCAGCATCAAACTGCCAAGACCCAAGCCCACACAGTAACAACATAGTTGGCTAGACCACCATGATGAGGAGGCCAAAATTTAGGGCCCAGAACAATTAGGATTCACGAAATCTGTCAAATTGTTTCAAAGTGATTGGTCAACAATTTTGGGTAGTTGGGACTGAAATACTAAGAAGCTAGGGGTTTCTGGGTAATCACAGGGAAGGAATTTTTTTTCTCATTTCCTATTCTCCAGCCACCTTCTAGACAACCTTAGAAATTTTGCTGATGTGCCAACCACCTTTCATCTCTGGAATCTCTGTCCTCTGGCCCCTGATAATCTGAGTAGGGACTGTCTCCTGGCCCAGTATTTCAAGAAGGCCTCAACCACGCTTCACTTCACTCCCTTCTCTCCAATCATATTCTCAATAGTATCACCAACCACCTTGTGGGTACCCTTCCTAACCCATCACCTCCATGATCAAATCACTTTTGCCTTTATTCCTAGACAGATGTATCAATCTACTCCACTATGCTCCTACCTGACATCCCAGCAAATATCTGGACCAAAATGCCGCTCCTCAGTCAGCACAGCCCTGTGTGTATTTTCTACCTATTAGAACATAAAAATGAAAGAAAGGATTGTCTTTATGTTGTGTATTTGTACCCTTAGTACCTAGCATACTGTATTGCTTAATAAATGCTACTGCATTGCATTCATTTATTTTTTGCTTATTCATTCATTCATTTTGACTGAACATTTTGAATGAAAAGTCACATGACAGTTTGCATTGGTGCATATTAATTAACTGAAGGTGCTTAAAAAAATCATTAGCCAACCAGCCACTCTTCTAAAGATGTGTTAAGTTGATAAAACCAACTGGAGTCAGAGGTAGTTATGGTACCTTTAAGAAACCACCCATTCTTTGTTTGTCCCAGATTTTCCTGTCTCTCTTCAGGCTCTAGAGGCAATATGTCCAGGTACAATATTACTCTTCAATCTCTAGGGACAAACCTATATACATTAACCAAGGTGAGACAAACCTTTCTCTCTCTCTTTCTCTCTCTCTCTCTCCCCCTCTCCTTGTCTGGTTAGCCAAGATAAAGATAGAAGTTTTCTTTTTTTTAAAACTTATTCAGTATTTTATTTTCCCCAATTACATGTAAAAACAATTTTTAACTTTCGTTTTGAAAACTTTGAGTTCCAAATTCTCTCCCTTCCTCCCTCCCCAGCCTCCAATTGAGAAGGCAAGCAATTCAATTTAGGTTATACATGTGTAGTCATGCAAAACTTTTCCATCTTAGTCATGTTGTTAAAGGAAACATAGGCCAAAATAAATAAATAAATAAAAACCACACATCTCAAGAAAAATAAAGAAAGTTAAAAAAAGTATCCTTCAATCTGCATTCAGACACCACCAGTTCTTTCTCTGGAGATAGATAGCATTTGTCATCGTAAGTCCTTCAGAGTTGTCTTGGATTATTGTATTGCTGAGAATAGCTAAGTCATTCACAGCTGAACATTTTACAATAATTCTGTCACTTCACAGGCAGTATATTTCACTTTGCATCAGGTCATGTAAGTTTTTCCAGATTTTTCTGAGAGTATCCTGTTCATCATTTCTTATAGCACAACATATACATCATAATCACGTACCACAATTTGTTCAGTCATTCCTCAATTGGTGGCATCCACACAATTTCCTAATAAAGAGAAAGTTCTTATGAGTTACAACATCTTCCTATATAGTAATGTAAACAGTTTAACCTTATTAAGTCCCTTGTGATTTCCCTTTCTGGTTTACCTTTTTGTATTTCTCTTGAGTCTTGTTTTTGAAAGTCAGATTTTCTATTCATCTCTGGTCTTTTTATCAAGAATGCTTGAAAATCCTCTATTTAATTGAATGTCCATTTTTCCCCTGAAGGATTATACTCATTTTTTCTGGGTAAGTGATTCTTGGTTGTAATCCTAGCTCCTTTGCCCTCTAGAATATCATTCATATTCCAAGTCCTCTGATCCTTTAATGTAGAAGCTGCTAAATCTTGTGTTATCCTGACTCCACAATATTTGGATTGTTTCTTTCTTGCTGCTTGCAATATTCTCTCCATGACCCAGGAACTCTGGAATTTGGCTATAATATTCTTGGTAGTTTTCATTTTGGGATCTCTTTCAGGAGGTGATTGGTGGATTCTTTCTATTTCTATTTTACCTTTTGGTTCTAGAATATCAGGGCAGTTTTCCTTGATAATTTCTTAGAAGGTGATGTCTAGGCTCTGTTTTTGATCCTGGCTTTCAGGTAGTCCAATAATTTTTAAATTCTCTCTCCTGGATCTATTTTCCAGGTCAATTATTTTTTCAGTGAGATATTACACATTGTCTTCTATTTTTCATTCTTTTGGTTTTGTTTTATTGTTTCTTGATTTCACATAAAGTTATTAGTTTCTATTTGCTCAATTCTAATTTTTAAGGAATTATTTTCTTCAGTGAGATTTTGTACCTCCTTTTCCATTTAGCCAATTCTACTTTTTAAGGAGTTTTTTCCTTCAGTGAATTTTGTGCCTTTTTTTCACTTGGCTAATTCTGCTTTTTAAGGCATTCTTCTCCTCATTAGTTTTGTTGTACCTCTTTTACCATTTGGCCTAGTCTGTTTTTAAGGTGTTATTTTCTTCATTATTTCTTGTATCTCCTTTACCAAGCTGTTGACTCATTTTTCATGATTTTCTTGCATCATTCTCATTTCTCTTCCCAATTTTTCCTCTACCTCTCTTGCTTGATTTTCAAAATCCTTTTTGAGTTCTTCCAAGGACTGAGACCAATTCATATTTTTCTTGGAGGCTTTGGATGTAGGAGCTTTGACTTTGTTATCTTTTTCTGAGTGTGTGTTTTGATCTTCTTTGTCACCCTAGTAACTTTCTGTAGTCAGAATTTTTTTCTATTAATTGCTCATTTTCCCAGCATGTATCTTGACTTTTAATTCTTTGTTAAAGTAGGGTTCTGCTTCCAGGGTGGAGGGTGCACTGTTCTAAGCTTCAGGGGTTTTGTGCAGCTGTTTTCAGAGATATTTCTAGGGACCCATAAGTTTTCAGTTCTTCCAAGGCGGTATGATCTAAGGATAGGTGTATTTACTACTATCTTGGCCTGTGCTCTGGTCTGTGAGTGACCACAAGCACTCTTTCCTACCCCAGAACTGTGATGATGGTCCCCACTCCACTGGCTCTAGTGTGCTAGTGCTCCTCCTGGCCATGGGACTGCCACCCAGAACTGTGAAGTGGATCTGATTATGGGCAAAGCAACAGAGTCCTGCCCCAGTGCTAGCAAAGAGACCCCATAATCTTCTTCTGACCAGTTGTTCAACCCCCTTACCATCTGTGGGCTGACACCTCCAGAAGCAGCTGCTGCCATTGCTGATTCAGTGGCCCCAGGCCTGCTCCTGGTTTGCTGGGGCTGGATCTGTGCTGGCATGGCCTTCCCTGGACCGTGCTCCACTGACCTTTCCTGCTGACCTTCTAAGTTGTCTTTAGCTGGAAAACTATTTAACCCCATCCTTTTGTGGGTTCTGCTGCTCCAGGAATTATTCTATGTCATTATTTAAAGATGTTTGGAGGAGTTTTGGGGAAAGCTCACTCAAGTCCCTCCCTTTTCTCTGCCATCTTAGCTTCACCCAGAAGTTTTCAAAAGGGATTTTTACATCTTTTTTTTCAGTTTTCAAAGAATGATTCTATGGTGATAAAGATATGTAGAGGTTACACTTTAATAGCTTAAAAATGCATTAAGATTTTTGGGATACTCTGTACATTTATCTCACAGGGTTGTGAAAGGAAAATCACTTTTAAAATCTCAAAGAACTATAAAATATGAATTATTATTATTTATTGGTTTTAGTTGGTTTAGAGGTGGGGGTGCAAATCCATCTTCACTCCTGGAAAGATAACCAATGGAAGGTCAATGGGATTCTCTTGATAGGCAATGGAGCACTCATCAGAAGGACTTGTTTAGGAATGATGATGAAGAATAAGGCAGAGTGATTTGGCTGTCTTAGAACAAGGAGGACAAGAAGCAGGAGTGAAGGATGAGAGGATAAATGGAGATTTCTCACTGCTGACTCTGGGCAAAATAATTTGACCTCAGTAGAACTGTTAAAATTGATGGGTAGTGGATGGGGAGAGATTGATGGTTGTTAATACCTGTGTGAAATCATAGTGATTTGCATCCTTCTGCTACGCTAGTTGCTCAGGGAAGCCTAATGTTCATGTAAGGAATAATAGTACCTACTAAGTATGTGACCTTGGAAAAGTCACTTACCTCTCAGGGTTTCAGTCTCCTCATCTACAAAATGAGGGAAGTTGGACTAGATGACCTTGAAAGTTCTTTCTATGTTTGATATTCTGTGATTCTGTGACTCATTAAATTACGGGGAGAGGTGGACAGAGAAAAAGAAAGCCTTAGAAAGAGCCTCCTCTGGTAAGCTTTTACTAGTTTATTATTTTTTAAATTAACAAACATGTATTTTTGCTCCTCCCAACTTACTCCACTGAAAAAGGAAGGAAAGAAGGAAAGGGGAGAAAGAATAAACATTTATATAGCATCTATTATGTGGCAGTCCCTGTAATAAGTGTTTTAAACAAATATTATCTCATTTGATCTTCATAATATCCCTGGGAGGAAGGTGCTATTGTTATCTCCATTTTTCAGTTGAGAAAATTGAGGCAGACAGTAGTTAAGTGATTTTTCACAGGGTCACAAAGTTAACCAATGTCTGAGACCAGATATGAAATCAGATCTTCCTGATTCCAGGCCTGGTGCTCTAACTACCACACCACCAGAAAAAAGAAAAGAAAAGAAAAGAAAAAGAAACTCCTTGTTAACAAATGTTCATAGCCAAACAAAAAAAAAAAGTTTCCTTATTG